CTCATTGACCTCAGAGCTGAGTGGCAAGCCCAAAGAAAAGCTGAGCACTCAGTTTGGAAAGTTGGCCCCTTACAAATTGTCACTGCAGTTGTGACAGCTCAAGAAGCCATGGCTGAGAAGAATCTCAAAGATGAGTGGGTTCTCAGAGCTGCAGTCAGGAATGGGATCCTGGTCTACAGACCTGATCCAGCCTCAGGGAGGCTTGTAGAACTCCTGTCTCAGAGGTGGGCTAAGGAGATGGGCTTAGAGGTTGGCACCAAGAGGTACAGTCCTGAGTGGCTCAGAGACAGGCTCAAGTGGAGAGATGCTGAGGGTGTGCCTGTAAAGGCAGATTGGAATCTGAGCAGCACAGCAAAGCACATCTCAGACCTCCAAGTCTGGGACTATTTCCACCCTGAGGATGAGAAGGACTTCACTGAGGAAGAGCTCCAGCCAGAGATCTGTGATGGCATTGCTGAGGACTTGGAACTAGAGCTTCAAAACTCCTTGTCCCTGAGGATTCACCCTTCCCTCAGAAGAGCCCAAATCAGAAGAATGGGGACTGCTGAGTACCAAAGCAAGAAAGAGAGAGTGGTTGCTCAGAGGGAAAGGCAGAGGAAGCTCAGAAAGCTGCTGAGGAAGCATAAGAGCAAACTTGTGCAAAAAAAATGGCTGAGAAACTCTCAGACATGAGCAGACATGAAGCTTTGGCTGAGCTCCAGCCTGAGGCCAGGCAGAAAGGCAAGCCTAAGAAAAAACCCTCCCTAGCATTCAAAGCTTCCATCAAGAACAAAGCTTCCATGAAGAACAAGCCACCAGCTAAGCACAAGAACTTGAAGAAAAAACATAAGAAAACATCAGAAGCTAAAGCCTTAGTCAAGGCTGGCTCCAAGCAGCACCTTTCTGATGCACCACCATTGCCTCCACCTGAGGAAGCACCACCTGCTGAGGAAGCACCACCTGCTGAGGAAGCACCACCTGAGGATCCCCTTCTCAAGCAGGAAGCTGTGATTGTTTCAGAAGCAGCAGGCAAGCTCAGCTTTGGCAAGCATGGCAAGCTAACTTATGGCAGCACATCAGGTATGTACATCTGTGTCACTGACTCAGGTGCATATCATGTTGAGCCTGAATGGGTGGAGCTCAAGAGCTCTAAGGCTGAAGTTCTGAGGGTGAAGTGGCCCAAGTGGACCCAGCTCAGCAAGAGAGATCTCAGCCTCATGCTGAGCCTTCTGAGCTGCAATCCTGAAGATGAGGTTGGCCTCAGCCCAAAGGAGTGGAGTATCCACACAATGCTCCCATGCCCTAAGGAAATCCCTGAGGTGGAGGATCAGCACCTTTGGCTTGGCTGGGCCCTTCTCAGATGGTGCTTTGACAAGGCCAATGTTGCCCTCCCAGATGTCTTAGGAGTTCACTGTGTGGACCCAATCCTCAGCAAGCTGATCCTTGAAAATGATGGCAATCCTCAGCAGCTGGAGGGCTTCAAGGAAGGCATCAAGAAATACTGGTCTCAGCACTGCAAGCTTCTTTTGGTTCCAGTGTATTCTCAGTTTCACTGGACTTTACTGGCAGGGCCTGGGCAATCCATCACTTGGAGGAGGTATGACTCCCTCAGCAAAGAGCATGAAGAATCTCATCCTCAGCAGATCCTCATGGGAACCTTGCTTGACCCTGATTTCAATCTCCCACCCCTCAGCAACATTGCCACTCAGCCTGTGGGCAGCAATGCTTGTGGCTGCTATGTGCTCCATTACATGGGGCAAGAGCTGAGGCTTTTCAGGGGTGAGTGGCCTTCAGTCTGGCCTGAGGATGGCTGGAAAGATTGGAAACTCAGGTTGGCCACTATTGTGCCTAAGCTGGTGGCTCAGGCAAATGCACTCATTGAAGATGCCAAAGTCAGACATGCTAAGCTTGAGTCTGAAATGGCAGGCATTGCTCAGCAAAAAAACAAGGCTGAGAAAAGGCTGAGCAAGCTGACTGACATCACCTCAGTTGCCTACCAGACTGCCAAGGACCAGCTGGACAAGAACTCAGTGAGATTCACCTGGAAAAACCTTTCTCAGGACTCAGTTCACAAGGTCAAGCTCCTGAAGGATTCCTTTGGCAAATGTTCTAAGTGCAGGTGGCAGTCAGGCTGCCTGAACTGTGATGCCTACAAATGCCTCAGGTACCACCTGCACTCAGAGGCTGCTAAGGCTCACAAGCTGCCTTATCTCAGCACAGGCCCTGAGGATCTGGAGCAGCTGCTCAAGTCAGCTACCCTGCCAATCTCAGCAAGCTCATCTTCAGCACCTATTTCTTCGAGCTCAGCTGCACCTACCTCATCAACATCAGCTGCACCTGCCTGAAGCTCTACTGAGAGACAGTGATTTGTAGCTTTGCACTGGGCAGGCTTAGGATTTGTTAATTTCAGTGCCAAAAAAGTAAAACAGCTTGCATGTGCTGCATGTGGTGCAATTAATTTTAAAATTGAAAAAAAGGTGTTGATTTCTTTCAAACTTGCATTTGCTGCATGTGGTGGAATTTGACAATTGGGGAAAGGGTTTTTATTTTTTTCAACCCCAAAAGTTGTTGGGCACAATAGAGTACCATCCAAACATTCATATTATTGAGTAACTGAGCCACTCATGGGGTACCACCTTGAAAAATTGTTTGGATGCTGTTTTTTAATAAGGGTTTAATAAGGCATCTAATTATTTGGAAAACCTTGCATTTTAAAGCTTTAATACAAATATGGTTTCTAAAGTAAATGGACCAGCTTTACTCAAAGAAAGGTTGAGAAAGGGTTTTTATTTTTTTCAACCCCAAAAGTTGCTTGGCACAATAGAGTACCATCCAAACATTCATATTATTGAGTAACTGAGCCACTCATGAGGTACCTCCTTGAAAAATTGTCTGGATGCTGTTTTTTAATAAGGGTTTAATAAGGCATCTAATTATTTGGAAAACCTTGCATTTTAAAGATTTAACACAAATATGGCTTTCTAAAGTAAATGGACCAGCTTTACTCAAAGAAAGGTGGAGAAGGTTTTTGATTTTTTTCAACCCCAAAAGTTGCTTGGCACAATAGAGTACCATCCAAACATTCATATTATTGAGTAACTCAGCCACTCATGGGGTACCACCTTGAAAAATTGTTTGGATGCTGTTTTTTTAATAAGGGTTTAATAAGGCATCTAATTATTTGGAAAACCTTGCATTTTAAAGCTTTAATACAAATATGGTTTCCTAAAGTAAATGGACCAGCTTTACTCAAAGAAAGGTTGAGAAAGGGTTTTTATTTTTTTTCAACCCCAAAAGTTGCTTGGCACAATAGAGTACCATCCAAACATTCATATTATTGAGTAACTGAGCCACTCATGGGGTACCACCTTGAAAAATTGTTTGGATGCTGTTTTTTAATAAGGGTTTAATAAGGCATCTAATTATTTGGAAAACCTTGCATTTTAAAGCTTTAACACAAATATGGCTTTCCTAAAGTAAATGGACCAGCTTTACTCAAAGAAAGGTTGAGAAAGGGTTTTTATTTTTTTCAACCCCAAAAGTTGCTTGGCACAATAGAGTACCATCCAAACATTCATATTATTGAGTAACTCAGCCACTCATGGGGTACCACCTTGAAAAATTGTCTGGATGCTGTTTTTTAATAAGGGTTTAATAAGGCATCTAATTATTTGGAAAACCTTGCATTTTAAAGCTTTAATACAAATATGGTTTCCTAAAGTAAATGGACCAGCTTTACTCAAAGAAAGGTGAGAAAGGTTTTTATTTTTTTCAACCCCAAAAGTTGCTTGGCACAATAGAGTACCATCCAAACATTCATATTATTGAGTAACTCAGCCACTCATGGGGTACCACCTTGAAAAATTGTTTGGATGCTGTTTTTTAATAAGGGTTTAATAAGGCATCTAATTATTTGGAAAACCTTGCATTTTAAAGCTTTAATACAAATATGGTTTCCTAAAGTAAATGGACCAGCTTTACTCAAAGAAAGGTTGAGAAAGGGTTTTTATTTTTTTTCAACCCCAAAAGTTGCTTGGCACAATAGAGTACCATCCAAACATTCATATTATTGAGTAACTCAGCCACTCATGGGGTACCACCTTGAAAAATTGTCTGGATGCTGTTTTTTAATAAGGGTTTAATAAGGCATCTAATTATTTGGAAAACTTTGCATTTTAAAGCTTTAATTTAAAAAAATGAAAAAACAGAAAAACATTTTTTAAGTAACTAATTTAAAAATAAATTCAAAAAATAATTAATTAAAGAATTAGGAAAAATTAAAAAAAAAATCTGGAAAAACACTTGCCACAATACAGGCCCCCCCCACCAAACAGCAGGTTACTGAATAAGGAGGAAACTTTTTGCCACAATAGAGTACCATGCTACTAATCAGGTGCCAACATTAATGCATTTCAGTTTGTCACTACGGTGTGCACTTCATAGTGAAGAGCAAGAAAAAAGAGGCCCAAGATGAAATCAAATACATTTAATGTCTGTAACTTGTCTTTTTGGTTTATACTTGGGTAAGGGCATCACAAAACTCTGGCTATATGTTTGTTGATGGCGGTTGATAGGTTTCAATGTAGCGGTTAAAACCGCTACAAGGACATCCTTGTCAACCAAATCACTTTGAATTCTTCACTCGTGAAAGACACCAAACCTGGCCTGGTCGGCAAAAGCGGCTCATCAGCCGGGGCGTTTGACATGCTGAAAACGGCTGTTGAAACAAAAACAGCTTTTAGCGGTTTGAAAACCGCTCCATTTAGCATTTTTTAAAGCAGTTGAAACCGCTTCAAACAGCAAACACTCAAAATCATCAAAAAGATCAAAATTTGATCAATTTTAAAGAAACTTTTTTATTGCAAAAAAAAGTTACGAAAAGTTAGCTAAGAAGTTATGACTTAGTAACTTAGTTTTAACTATAGGTTATAATCGAGTTATAACTCTATAGGAGCACCATAGAACCACATCCACTCGATCAATGCCTCTATTGCCTTTTTCATGGCGATCAACTGGTTTCAATGATCGGCATTCATGTCGATGACCTCATCGGTGCTGGACTTGAATCCGATGAAGTCTACCAGAAGGCCAAACAGGCTCTTCATGAGAGTTTCAACTTCAAACATTGAACTGAAGGCAGAGAATCAGGTAAACTGCACTTTTGCGGTTGTGACCTTGTGGATGATGGAAAGGGCCGCTGGTGTTTGCGCCAGCAGGACTACGTCCAAAAGATCAAACCTTTGACCTTGAGCGATTTCTCAGATGAGAATCGTAAATTGACTGGCAAAGAAGTGTCAATGCTCCGTGGACTTTTGGGAGCGCTTCAATGGCCAGCTACACAGACATCACCGCACCTCAGTGCAAGTGTGAGCCTTTTGTGTGGCGAAGTTAGCGCTGCAACAGTTTCCACAGCTACCCAAGCCAACAAGCTGTTGAGATTTGCCAAAGCCAACAACGACGTTGGACTCCAATTTGCTGACCTTGGCCAACTACATGAGCTATGCATGATAGCCCTGAGTGATGCAGCCTGGGGTGTTCGAAAGAACCATGAGTCCCAAGGCGGCTATTTCGTTTTGCTGATGAATGTGAAAGCTTTGCAAGGTCATTTGGACCAACCCTATGTTGTTTTGGATTGGCGAAGCTACAAGCTCCCCAGAATCAGTCGCAGTAGCCTCAACTCCGAAGCACAAGCATGCGCTGGTGCAATGGATGCTCTTGAGTATCTCCTGATCTTCTGGCATGGATGCGTGACCCCATGGATTTCAACTACGTCACCTGGACGTCCACGACATCCTCATGCAGTCTGCCTTGGTGGTCGATGCGAAGGCGCTTTATGATAGCCTGAAAGCAGAAGTTCCACAGATGCAAGGCGACCGAAGATCCAAGATTGAGGTCATGGTTGTGAAACAGAAAATGGATGAGGTGAAAACGAAACTGAAATGGATTTCATCAGAGACCCAACTGGCAGATGGCGTTACCAAAATTGCAGCACGGCAATTGCTTGCAGACCGCCTGCGGTCCCATGTCTTCTCCCTGCACTCTCCAAGCAGCGAAGAAGAAGACCCTAGCTGAGCAGCTGAACGCCAAGCTTCAGCCAGACGCAATGCAATTGGTCGTTTGCACAAAGGCATTGGTTTTGCAGTGCTGTCAAATCAACTTGAGCCAGTTCGAGGTGATGATTTTGCAGAAGATTCTTTTTCATCCTACAACATCATTGTCATCTTCACCTTCCTCACCATGTTTGCGGCGACGGTTTTTCTGGCATGGCAGTGCTTAGGAAACTTGTCAATTTTTGACTCCAAACCTATGGCTGTACCTAGATTCCAAACCTCAAGTCTACAGAGCGGAGTCGAAAGAATGATGAGGTCCCTGCCGAGACCTACGCTGGTGCAGTTCTTCCAAAGAATGCCCTGGTCACTGATGAGACCTTTTGCGTTCCTATGGAATCAATGAGCTGCGCTGACCGAAACTTCAACCCAAACCGAAGGAGGACGAGATCACACCATTCACCTTTTGAACTGCAGAGTTCAGATGCTGGAACAGCAAGTGAAAGACAAAGATGACAGAATCGAAGATCTTGAAGGTCTGGTTCATTTCTACGAGGGCGATGTCACATCAACGTCTTTGTTTGTGAGCCGGACTGGAGTCCGATACCATTTACATCGTGATTGCCGAGCGCTTCAACAAGCAAATCAAGCCGGCATTCGAGATTTGAAATGCTGCAGCCAATGTGTTCAGACATTGCGTGACAGTAGCAACCTGGGCGGACCGTGGTGATCTTTTTCTTTCTTCTCCACCGGTGTGAGTTTGGTGCCACCAAACTGATCCATTCACCACTTTGCCAGGTTGGACCACACCATTTGCTGCACAACAACACCATTGGCCTTCCTCCGCGGCCTATCTTGGCTTTTACGTGGTTTGGTAACTCTGGAATATCCAGAGAGGCCTCTTTTGAGCCTAGCAATAGAAGCTGCGCATGACGAAACAGATAGCACTCCTGCTTTGCATTTCGTGTTTGCACTTTGAGCGGCATAACACACAATAAGATATCAATCCATATCTTCGCAATACAATAGATATAAACTTCTAAACGTTAAAAACAGATCTGTATACGATACAATACGACAATTATATATATATAATTATGCCGCTACTCCCCTCCCAATCCTAAGTTTAACATACTTTGCTTTGATGAGTATTGCAGGAATCCATGCTCCGGAAGAGTTCTGCATGGATTGGACACTTCTGGGTCATCAAGTAGTTCTCTCAAGCGCGGCATCCCTTCCTAGAGTAATACTGCACAATTAGCAAGCCTCTTTGAACGTACTGCTGCATTTGTTGAAGATTTCTACTGTAAAGTGATGGCACTGCCAGGAATGCTGCACTCTTTTGAGAACTGCTTTACCCTTTGAAAGGTACTGTAGGGACGCCCACAGCAATGGTGCAACATCTTCTGAAAAGGACATCATAGAAATCATAGAATCATAGTCGTGATATGTCATGATAATCATGATACAACACTGCCTTCGTCATCCTTCACTTCATCCTTTGGCGCCTCGGAGGGAATCGTCTGCACACCTTTCGCTGACCACTGCGCCGTCGCCCCATCCCAAAAGGCGCAGGTCGCTGTGGGATCCTCCTGGGCCGACAATGCTCAGGCAGTGAAGTGTTAAGTTGCACTTATCCTATCTTATCCTTCCGTCATGGTCAATCGGGTTTGTACTTCTTCAGTGATTTGCTGCGAGGTATGATTGCTTCCATGAGAATTGCGAATCGGACAGCAGACCTCTTCCCCGTTCAATGCTAAAACTGAGCCCCAAACCCCCAGTTTTGGTCATGTTGAAGATTTAAAGAAATCTTATGAGGGTGTAATACCGTAATACCCCAAATGCCTGGACGCAAACACAACTAGAGCTCGATTCCAGATTTCAGGTGCTCTGCCAAGCTTCTACCGTCAGCGTCATCTTCATTGGGGTGGTCAAATTCTTGACGTTGATTTTTGTCCCTGAAAGCGCGGGACGTCCAAAAAAGAAGTTGTTGTGGAACACTCAAAGCAGAATTACTTTCCTCCAACTGACATTCTATCTGACATAAATTGTGGCTTTCTATCTGACATATATTCTCACAACTATATAATTATATAATTCTATATATACGTTTATTATGAAGTGACAAAACAGATATTTTGACCTTCTATCTAGCATTTTACAGTATCTGGCAATCTATCATATCTTTTGACATTTTGTCTGACATTTCCTGACATATTTTCTGAATTGTTCTGACATGACATATATTCTAAATTATTCCGGCATTAACTTTTTAACATAGACATTGGCATTTGATCGGGCATGTATTCCGACAGCTATTCTGACATTCTTTCTGCCATTTTATCTCACGTTCTATCTGGCATCCTATCGACATATATTTTGATATTCTGTCTGACATATACTCTGACATTCTAAATCTGGCATTTAAACCGGCATAATGTTCAGGTCCTGTCGGGCCCAGAGAGCCATGCGAAGTCGCCCGGCTGTTCGGACCCGGCAGAAGTCCACGGTAAATCGTTACCGGTGCAAACTGCCCAAGAAAAGGTCCATCGCGACAAGGCCAAATCGACAAACAGAGAGTAGTGGCACTGACAAAAGCAGTCATACCAGTTTGTGGGGGACAGATTCAAAAACAACCAACTTCCAACCCTTTGACAAACTCAATACCACAACTTTAAAAAAATAATCAGCCAATTTGAAGAATGATCCGACAAATTGCCCTTCGGGCTTTGCAGCGGGGGCTAGTTTGAACATATCTGACATGTACCTGCTGCCCCAAACGCAGTAGAATTTCATTTCCGCTGAACGATTACAAAAATCTGGGCCCCACAACACGGAAGCAATCCCTTGCCTGTTTGCATCACCTTTCTTTTAAACTATATGACTGGTAGACGCTGTAAACCACCAAAAAATGACGCTTCATAAAACCTTCACCGCCACCTCAAATGGAAATATCATGAGAAATCTCCCGGGATACAGCACAGCTGTTCTGTCAAGGAACCATCGGCCGCACGAAAATTGATACTCAGGGGCTGCGACCGTAGAGCCGACGCCAGCCGCCGCGCACCACCTGGACCCTTGGCACCCGGGGCACCCGCGGGACCCGGATCCGGCGACTCCGCGCGGACGTCATCGGTCGCAAGGCGGGCGGCGGCGTCCTGTGGAAGGCCCGCGACACCTCGGCCACCGCAAGAGATTCCAACCTTTTTCGAGGTGCCAAATGATTTCAAAAGTAAGCTGAGTAAACTGAGTAAACGAGCACTTCATGCAAAGATGGTGTGTCTTACCTACAAATACCTGGCTCACAGGACCCGATCTATGGCTACTTCACTAGGTTCTTTGAACCATTCATCATGGGAGCAGTCACGGCAAAACAAAAATCATCAAAGTTTCTCACACTTTCACTGCTTTTGCGTGCGTCCTTCAAAGTCCTTCACGCGCTTTTCACAGATTTCAGCTTTCCGCTCTTTTGTATCGAACTGATGGGACGGTGGAAGCACGGTGGGTCAGATATGTTGGCGAAGGTTCATGCCCAAACGAGCACTTTGACAAAGTGCCAGGTAAACAGGGACGTGGAAGCTCAACAGATTCTTTTGGATGTACAAGACAATTCTTTTAGGTGATAACTGCAATTTTCTGCAATTTCCCTCATGCGCATAATCATTTGATCTAGCACGATTTGCTCATACAGATGGGCAAACAAATGCTCACGAATACTTAATTCACAGTTCACATGCAGTTCCAGGACATCCAAACAGATTGGAGATATTGGGAAAGAGGGCGCCCAACAATTTCATGGCCTAAATCTTCACCTTCCCCATACTATTTTCACGGCCGTATATGTGGTTTTCCCAATTTTCACGTTTTGTCCCCATCCGGGTGATGTCTCGAACTCAGAAACCCCGTCCTGGGAGAAACCACATGAACCTTTCTTTGGCCCGTGCTAAAATCATTCCCTTCCTTCGAAGGACTATACTCTTCATCACCCTGGGTGTCATTCATGTGGGGCCAGAATTGGATCCTGGAAGGAAATGCTGAATCATGCTGGAAAAGAACGTGAATACTGCAGCCTGGGTGATCTTCATCCGCATCAAAGGCACTCAGCAGCACTACATCACTGCCTGCAGCTGCGGCAACTTCACCCAGCAGCCCTGCACTGACCTCCAGTTCTGCACCTGCAAAATCCATTTTTTCGACATCCAAAGCGTTTGAAAACTGCCGAGGTCTGCAGGTTGAAACAGGAAGAACACACGCAGCAACAACTTTGAAATCAAACGATTCACATCAAGTGCTGAGTCCTCAAAACGATGGCCCCGTCATCTCCCACTGCCCCACCTGTTTCACCGGCACTGACTTTGACCGGGACACTGTCGTTCCCCAGCGCTTCCAGGGACAACGCGGCCACCTTCACAGGTCCAGCCTCTGAGGAGATGGTGACCTCTCCCAGGATGCCAGGGGCGCTGGAACTGCCATTGCCTTGCAGCGCGATCGCAGCGATGGCTTCCGCAACTGCGTTGTTTTCAGCTGCTTCTACTGCTGCAACTGCCTGTGCTGCTTCTTCTTTTCTTTTCTCTTCCAGTGCTTCGAGTTCTTCGATTGTCAGGCCACCCTCAGGAATTGCAGTGCCTGTTTTTGTTGTCGTAGTGGGGCTGGTGGTGGAGCTGGATATAAACGATGTTGTCGTGGTGGAGTCGGTGGCCGTGGTGTGTGTTGCTGTGGATGTTGTGAGGGTTGCTGTTGTTGTGCTGCTATGTGTGCTTGTTGTGGTTGTTGTTGACGTTGAACTTGTGGTGGTTGACATTGTCTTCGATGTGCGGGTGGATGTTGCTGTTGTACTGGTGGTGCTGCTGCTGCTGCTGGTTGTGGCGCTGCGGCTTGTTGAGGTACTTGTGGTGCTTGTGGAGGTGCTGGTGGTGATGGAAGTTGTTGTGGTGCTGCTAGTGCTGCTTGTGCTACTTGTTGATGTGCTTCTGCTTGTTGTGGTGCTGGTGCTCGTGCTGCTGCTTGTTGTGGTGCTGGTGCTCGTGCTGCTGCTTGTTATGGTGCTGGTGCTCGTGCTGCTGCTTGTTGTGGTGCTGGTGCTCGTGCTGCTGCTTGTTGTGGTGCTGGTGCTCGTGCTGCTGCTTGCTGTTGTTGTGGTGCTGCCGGTGCGTGTGGTTGTGGTGGTGCCGGTGGTGCTTGCGGTTCCTGTGGTGGTGCTGCTAATTGTTTGGCTGGTGGTGGTGGTGATGGTCCTCGTGGCGCTGCTGGTGGAGGTACGCGTCGCGCTACCTCAGAGATTCTATGCCCAATGCTACTGTGTTTGATACCACTGATGTCAATGGATCAATGGGCCAAACTACACAGTACCAAGAATGAGGTGTGTGAAAACAATACAGCTGTCTTTTTGAGGCTACAATCTTGAATCTTGGAAGTTGTCTGGTTCTGTGACTCTGTGTCTGGAATAGAGCCACACCGCACCCCCGATCTTCGCGGATAACATACCAATCATATCCCCAGGACTACCCTACCAGAAATCAATATCCCCAACTGTTTCAAAGAGATTGCTGCTTTACGAGCACCTGCCCGGAGTCGTGAAGCTTTGGCAGTCAACTTTGGACTTTCGACATGAAACTGAGGCCTTCAAGAAAACTGACTGGTCCAGCGTCACCACAATGCTGCAGCTCGCTTTGGCTGGTGAAAGGGACTCATAACACAGAAACAGGGATGAACACCGGACTTTTCATAATTACTTCAGTCAGAGCCACTGCTCACTGTGGTGGTCGTTGTTTGGTCCTGGCACACAGATTTGTCTCAGCCATGATTCTTGTGTCAGGCGTGAAGGCTGGGTATGGCTTGATGCCTGGCAACACGGCAGTCTGTGCCTCAATCTCGACGTACAAAAGCGACACGCCGCCGTCTGGACAGATGAACATGAAGAGACCACCAGTATCCAGCCATGATCATCGTGAATAGGCTGAAAAATCCGCCGGCCTGCCGGCGTGTCTTGTGGATCTTGCTTGTTCGTAGTTGTACTGTTTGTTTAATCTTAGTCTCTGTCTAGACTTTCCCCCTGGCGCGGATTTTTGCCTCGTCTAACTTGAACCCACCCCCCCCCCTCCCCCCCTCTCCCCCCCCCTTCCTCCCCCCGTGCTTTTCATCTTTCGTTTCAACCTTAGTTTCGAAACATGATTCAGTTTCAACTCAAACCCCGGCTTACGCGAAACCCATGTTTTGTGTCTCCTCTTCGTGATTTTCCTCTGCGTCTTTCGTTGCAATGCACTGGGTTCGACTCTGCCCACGATGTTTCCATTGTGGTGCTCACGATTGGCTTGCTCTGTCATTCTTACACTTTCTACGTTCCTATGCCTCATACACGTGGCCTGTCAATCCACTTGCTTTTGTGCAGAACACAATGTATACGCGCAACCTTTCTATGTATGGCCTTTTTCAAAAACCTTGGTTCACACGCTGTTTCGGTTTAAATTCAAGCCCTGGTTGACGCAAGCACCATGCTTTGTGTCAAAGCGCATCTTTCTACTAAACAAAACGCTGCTTCACAGAAAACACCGTGTTTTAAGTGTTTCACAGAAACACCATGTTTCATGTGTTTGCTTTGCCTTCCCCTGCGTCCTCAGCTTCACGCTCTTGGTTGGCTAGCTGGCTTGCTGTCGTCTAAGCTTTTTTCTGCCGCCGTTGCTTCGCCATGAATGTGCTACAAGGGCTTTCTAGGGTTGACACCCTGTATACACAACCGCCTTGGTTTAGCCAAAAGCTTTGCTGCACTCAAAACCACTCCTTACAAACACCATGCTTTACACAAAAACCATGTTCTTGCTGGGCCTCTGCAAGGGCTGTTTGCATCTTACAGGATAACTCTTTCCATGGTGGCCGGCGGAACACGCCGAAGGCGGTTAAATAAATTGAATTGATTGATGTTGGGTCCATTGTGCACTGGCTTTATTGTACGAAAGTTTCGGATGTTCACTGCAAACACTCAACTTGTGTAGCCAAGCGAAAGCGCCTGCCGGCCCCGCTCGCCTTGAGTAACTCCACCGTAGATGTAGAGGCGACCCGCACTGGCATCGATTGCCGAATGGTGAAATCTCCGCGCATCTGGAGCAACACCTCCTGGAGTCACCTCCACCCAGGCATTCGCCTGCGACTGTGGGACATTTGAGCTATTTTGAGATTCTGAAGTTCGTGGGAAATCTCAAGCTATCTGATCTATCCTTCGTGCTAGGCACAAGGTTTTGAGCCCAAGGGAACGGCTCTGTTTCCATGAGCCAGTGACCCCACCAAATTGCCACAAAAAATGCGCCGCAGCTTGCATGGACAGAGATAACACTCGGCCTTTCTTGCCCCCTTTCAGACATGGCGCAGCTGAAACTCAAAGCTGCCTTTCACAGCTGGAAAAACCTGCAGGAGTCCCTGCACTTCATAATATCGCAACACTCAACCGTGCCTGGAGGTCATAGTAAAATAAATCATTTACAAGGCCTCGTTTCTTGAAACTAGCTTTGCCGAACCACATTTCACGGACGCTTTTACAATAAGTACTGTACGCGTGCTGAACAACTCTGAGAAGGGGACCAGTGGCGTCATTACCTGCAAAGATCCACAGGCGGCCACCGGCGTCATCCCACTCGGCACGATGGGCATAGCGAGGCGTGGGTGCTGTGCCACCGGGAGTGACTTCCACCCATTGATTGGCCTGAAACAGGATCAAGCAAATTAATCAAATGCTCATATGCTTGGCCTTCAAAAATTCCTTTTTTTTGTACGTACAAGTTCTGCAACTCTGGAAATGCAACCTCAAGAGAACAGCATGTTCTTTTTCCGTTATTGATACCAGAATATGAAAAAATGAGAACTTGCTTTGTTGTCCCCCTTTTCTGCTTTGTCAGCGGGACATAGCGGGACCATGAATGTGAAACACATGCGCAAGCGCAGAAAAACACCCAACTCTCGCAATTTCAGCAAAGCAGAAACTTGCTTTGGAACATGTTGCGAGTGTTTCCATTAATCAGAGTGTTTCACGGTTTTGCTGACATTTGCTGACATGGGCACGCTACAATTCAAAACACAAGAACTGGTACAAGTACCTTGGTCGTGAACATGTCGTGACATGGGCATCAATGGCAGAACCACTGATCTACACATGAAAACTGCATTTCACAGCTGGAACACCTAGAGGAGTCCCTGCTCTTCACAACATCTCAACATTCCAATCCCAGACATCAACCAGAAACAACGAGGAGCACCGTCACGTCGTAATAGTGTAGATCATTTTTATAGCCGCCTCATTTCTTGAAACGAGCTGTTTTCAACCGAATTTCACGGATGTTCTTCCAATAAGTACTGTACGCGTGCTGAACAACACTGAGAAGGGGACCAGTATTTCCGCCAAAGACCCACATTCGGCTGTTGGTCGAATCCCACACAGCAGAGTGCTCCCAGCGACGCGCAGGTGCTGTGCCACCGGGAGTGACTTCCACCCATTGATTGGCCTGAAACAGGATCAAGCAAATTAATCAAATGCTCATATGCTTGGCCTTCAAAAATTCCTTTTTTTTTGTACGTACAAGTTCTGCAACTCTGGAAATGCAACCTCAAGAGAACAGCATGTTCTTTTTCCGTTATTGATACCAGAATATGAAAAAATGAGAACTTGCTTTGTTGTCCCCCTTTTCTGCTTTGTCAGCGGGACATAGCGGGACCATGAATGTGAAACACATGCGCAAGCGCAGAAAAACACCCAACTCTCGCAATTTCAGCAAAGCAGAAACTTGCTTTGGAACATGTTGCGAGTGTTTCCATTCATCAGAGTGTTTCACGGTTTTGCTGACATTTGCTGACATGGGCACGCTACAATTCAAAACACAAGAACTGGTACAAGTACCTTGGTCGTGAACATGTCGTGACATGGGCATCAATGGCAGAACCACACACAGCGCACATGGCAAATACCGATGATCTACACATGAAAACTGCATTTCACAGCTGGAAAACCTAGAGGAACCCCTGCTCTTCACAACATCTCAACATTCCAATCCCAGACATCAACCAGAAACAACGAGGAGCACCGTCACGTCGTAATAGTGTAGATCATTTTGAGAGCTGCCTCATTTCTTGAAACGAGTTGCTTTGCCGAACCGAATTTCACGGACGCTTTTCCAATAAGTACTGTACGCGTGCTGAACAACACTGAGAAGGGGACCATAACCGCCAAAGACCCACATTCGGCCGTTGGTCGAATCCCACACAGCACTGTGCCTTGTGCGCGCCGTAATTGCAGTGCCACTGGGACTGACTTCCACCCATCCATTGGCCTGAACAGGATCAAGCAAATTAATCACATGCTCAGTTTGGCCTTCAAAATTTTTAATGTTCTTTCATAATGTGGGATCCTGATTCGTGGGTGGATCTGCTATTCTGAAAAGTTTTTTCCAAAATAATTCAGGATCTGTGGAAATGAATTGGGGTTCGCTCTTGTGTCAAGTGCTTTTTGGGGCAATTTTCATTTTTTTTCATTTTTTTAACTGTTTTGAAAATTGTCGTTCATTTTTGGTTTCGTGTTTTTCAATTTATTGTTATTATGTTTTTTGTTTTTATTTATTTGTTCCCCACCTTCCAGGTGAGGGTTGTTAGATTTTATCAGAGCTGCTCTCCTCCTGCTCCCCGGCTAGCTCTCCTCCACCATCTCTGCATCCGCTTCCATGTCCACTTCTGCCTTGCCAACTCTTCACCAAGCTCTTCGCCAAGCTCTTCGCCAACTTCCGACCTCAGTGCGCACTGCTGGACCTCAACGGCCAGATAGAATGCCAGAAGATATGCCAGATAAAATGCCAGAAGATATGCCAGATAGAGTGTGAGAAGATCCACCAGATAGAATGTTAGAAGATATGCCAGATAGAATGCCAGATAAGATGTCAGATAGAATGCCAGAAGATATGCTAGATAAAATGCCAGAAGATATGCCAGATAGAGTGTGAGAAGATCCACCAGATAGAATGTTAGAAGATATGCCAGATAGAATGCCAGATAAGATGTCAGATAGAATGCCAGAAGATATGCCAGATAAAATGCCAGAAGATATGCCAGATAGAGTGTGAGAAGATCCACCAGATAGAATGTTAGAAGATATGCCAGATAGAATGCCAGATAAGATGTCAGATAGAATGCCAGAAGATATGCCAGATAAAATGCCAGAAGATATGCCAGATAGAGTGTGAGAAGATCCACCAGATAGAATGTTAGAAGATATGCCAGATAGAATGCCAGATAAGATGTCAGATAGAATGCCAGAAGATATGCCAGATAAAATGCCAGAAGATATGCCAGATAGAGTGTGAGAAGATCCGCCAGATAGAATGTTAGAAGATATGCCAGATAGAATGCCAGATAAGATGTCAGATAGAATGCCAGAAGATATGCCAGATGAAGTGCCAGAATGTTTGCCAGGTATCTACGTGACACAGAAGATTTGTCAGTAACAAAACGTCTAAATGCCATGGTGGGGATCACTCGAAGTAGAGTAATTCTTTTTATCTTCCAAATCCCTTTTTATCATGAGCACTATTGATCCTAAATCATTTGTTTGTTGTGGGGGCCCTCTATTGTGTCCAGCTGTTGTCTGAAGAAACAATTTTTCTAAAGTTAATTATGACCCATCAGCAATAATGGTTAATTAATTTTATAGGATGCCTTATTAAAACCCAATTAAAAACAACACCCAAACAATTTTTCAAGGGGGGTAGCCCATGAGCCACCCTGATCCTCAATAGTATGTTTGTGGTGGGATTCCTCTATTGTGTCCAGCTGTTGTTTGAGGTGAAACTGTTCAAAATCAGTCTCTCCTTTCCTTCTCCTTTCTTTTGCCAATCCTTTTTTGTTTTTTACTTTCTCAGTTCCATTCTTTCGGAATTCTCCTTCCCGAAGTAGAAAACAGTTTGAATCCAAGCTGCAGCCAGGAACTTCAAAAAAACGGGAGTGCAGAACACTCCAAAAATACCTATAAATATGTATCTGAGATACAAAAGCATTGACACATACATTGAGAAGATACAGCAAATTCAAAAGGGCCCACAATGTTTCCAAAATGTGCCCCCAAAATGCATCCATTCTTCATCAAGCTCAGAATATCAATGCTGGCCAGGGTGGCTAGTGCCATTTCTCCAGATGTCATTAGTCTAGTGACTTTGGAAATCGAGAGCTGATACCTGACAGACCACTTGAAAGAAACTTTAAGACCAAATAGGCAATGTCACTTAGATAATGATGTCCTGAGAAATGGCACTAGCCACCGTGGCAGACCAGAGTTGTAACTCAAAAAAAAGTATGTTATTTCTGTATATTTCTTTGACCAAGGCTTGGAAAGCCAAGTCTTGAAGTGTCTTTGACGACAAAAGCTTGGAAAGCCACGTTTTGAACATGGTAAGTCTATGAGCTAGACTTGGATGGTAATGTTTATCAAGGTACCGTTTTTTTTGGGGTTTTTCAGTTGTCCCAAGACTCTCCATGCATGGAGTATTTCGTCGGCCCACCTACCCATTCAACTTGGTTTTAATTTTGCTCAGTAACTTTGTGCTTGGAACAGGCCAACAATCATGATGACATGATTCGCGAACAGAATTCCAGCAAGTGACCTGGGCAACCCGTTTTTGATCCCAAAAAAATGCTTCCAGGACACTTGTTGGCAGACTGTGAAAAAACTTGCTGAGCGAGCGTCTAAACTTTTCAGTTGTTTTTTGGGGATTAGGTTCACGCGCCAAGAGGCCCCACCCAATTCACTATGAGGTTTCGTGGGGGCGTCTAGGGGCCCAAAAGCAAGGAAAGCTGAGGTGAAAATTATCAGGGGCCTGGCCCCTTAAAAGGAGCCATGAGGAGGGCAGTAGGGCCTGGATAATTCAGGTCGTTTTTCCACCCCTTAACTTACCTTTCGCCTAGCAGTTTTCCCGTTGGTTTCACATCAAAATAAAATTTGAAAAAGAAACGGCCCCGAAAAAAACGGCCATACATTGTTCTCAAAAAAGGAAAGCTCCCATATATGCATTTTTTTTCCAGGATGTATGCCCATTTTTTCCGGGGGGTGGGGGTGGTCCTTTTTTTTATATTTTTGGCGTTTGATATTTTTTGGTTTTTGGGGATCCCAAGCCAACCGGAAAATTACAATGAGCGGCTTGCAGGCGCAGGCAAACCCAGCTGGAAAAAGGTTTAAGCTTTCTTTTGCATTGACGCCCACTAAGTAAGAAAAAATGGAAAAAACACTGACGCTCGACTCAACACTTTTTCTTGCGCAGCTTCCCCTTTGGGAGAAAAGGGATGGAGGATACGCCTTTTCCCTTTTCCAAGGGGGCGGCGGATGTCTTGTAGTGGTTTATGTGTTTGTCTGGTCCGAGACTCATTTAAGCCGACTTTTTTACTCATTATAAGCCGACATTTTGTATGTTGACTTCAGAGTTAACTCCATGGGGTACAGACCTTTAGGTTGACACTTGGGGACACTTGGGGTGGGTTTAGGGGACACTTGGGGACACTTGGGGTGGGAGTAGGGGACACTTGGGGTGGGCTTAGGGAACCAACTCCAAGGGATACAACCCTTTAGGTTAACACTTGGGGACACTTGGGGTGGGTTTACTTGGGGACACTTGGGGACACTTGGGGTGGGTTTAGGGGACACTTGGGGACACTTGGGGTAGGCCTAGGGAACCAACTCCAAGGGATACAGCCCTTTAGCTTAACACTTGCGGACGCTTGGGGGACACTTGGGGACACTTGGGGTGGGTTTAGGGGCACTTGGGGACACTTGGGGTGGTTTAGGGGACACTTGGGCACCCTTGGGCCGGGTTTAGGGAACCAACTTCATGGGACGAGACTCAGGCCATATTAATTCTTGTCAATCTCTTCCATCAGAGAACTCACCTTCCTGATACATGTGTCACCTCGTCTTACAGTACCTTGCCAGATGTTCCTGATACTTTGTAGCATCTTCTTCAAATGACTTGCAACACGTTCCTGATGCATTGTGACATCTTCTGCGCGACACTTCCGACATGTTCCATGCATGACGTTGTCACATCTTCTTCAAGTCCCTTGAATGATGTTCCTGGTATTTTGCAACATCTTCGTCAAGTAGCTTGCAATACAATCCTGATACGTTGCAACATCTTCCTACTTGTAAGTAAATTGCACGACCTTCCTGATACGTTGTCACCTCGTCTTACAGTAACTTGTCAGATGTTCCTGATACGTTGTAGCATCTCCTTCAAATGACTTGCCACACGTTCCTGATGCATTGTGACATCTTCTGCGCGACACTTCCGACATGTTCCATGCATGACGTTGTCACATCTTCTTCAAGTCCCTTGAATGATGTTCCTGCTATTTTGCAACATCTTCGTCAAGTAGCTTGCAATACATTCCTGATACGTTGCAACATCTTCCTACTTGTAAGTGAATTGCACGACCTTCCTGATACGTTGTCACCTCGTCTTACAGTAACTTGCCAGATGTTCCTGATACGTTGTAGCATCTTCTTCAAATCACTTGAAACACGTTCCTGATACATTGTGACATCTTCTGCGCGACACTTCCGACATGTTCCATGCATGACGTTGTCACATCTTCTTCAAGTCCCTTGAATGATGTTCTTGCTATTTTGCAACATCTTCGTCAAGTAGCTTGCAATACATTCCTGATACGTTGCAACATCTTCCTACTTGTAAGTAAATTGCACGACCTTCCTGATACATGTGTCACCTCGTCTTACAGTAACTTGCCAGATGTTACTGATACGTTGAAGCAACTTCTTCAAGTGAGTTCAAACATGTTCCTGATACATTGCGACATATTCCTGATACGTTGAAACATCTTCTGAAAAGTGACATGCAATTCATATGATCGAATCAAAATGTCCGGCTCATCATCTCTGTCACACCTATTGCAGTCATATTCAAAGAGTTCTATGTCACTTTCTATTGGTGCTGCCATCATATTTCACAAACGTAGGCGTAAGCGAGTAAAAACGTAGGCTTAAGCGAGGTACTGACCGTTTGTTTTTGTTGCAAACAGTGAATTGTGTGAAACTGAGGGGCCGAGGGACCTCTTGGAATTTCTGTTTGGAATTTGTGATGCAGCTGCAGCAAACAGAAAGACAGAACTGAGAAGACATCCAGGAACTTTTTTGATTTCGCGTTTGAACAGAATGGTTTGCTAGTTTTCAAGATAGAGCGTGCCGCCATGGCAATTCAGCTGGTATTTTGGTGGGACTGGAAACATGTGAAAACCAGACAGTAGCAGATGTTTTTTCAATACCTGGAAAGTCATTGACTCAAGGTACACCATTACCTGAAACACGTTCAGAAACATTTTTTTAACAGAAGCTGGAAACATGTCAAAACCAGACAGTAGCAGATGTTTTTTCAATCACTGAACAGTCATTGACTCAAGAAACGCCATTACCTGAAACATGTTCAAACATCATTTTTAAACAGAAACTGGAAACAATGTCAAAACCAGACAGTAGCAGATATTTTTTCAATCCCTGGGCAGTCATTGACTCAAGAAACAGCATTACCTGAAACATGTTCAAATGCCATTTTTAAACAGAAACTGGAAACAATGTCAAAACCAGACAGTAGCAGATATTTTTTCAATCCCTGGACAGTCATTGACTCAAGAAACACCATTACTTGAAACATGTTCAAATGCCATTTTTGAACAGAAACTGGAAACAATGTCAAAACCAGACAGTAGCAGATATTTTTTTCAATCCCTGGACAGTCATTGACTCAAGAAACACCATTACCTGAAACATGTTCAAATGCCATTTTTTCAAAAGAAACAGCGCAGGATAAGCCAGCAATGGGTCGTAGTGCGCATGGTTCTGATTCGTTTCGGTGCTTGGCTGGTTTGTGAAAACAGGGATGATGGTAGGAAACGGAAGAGGGCGAAGATACCTAAGGTACACATGTCCACTGAAACCAAGGGACATTTGAACTCTTGTTTGCTGCAAACTCCTTTGCAAACATGTCTGGCAGATGTTCACTCTGATTCAGTTTTTCCTGGCCGAGTCTTGGCATGGGCATTGGTTGAGCTTGATGCATCCTGTGCGGATACACTGCTCAGCCCAAAGAGCCTGGAACGCAAGATTCTCCTTGAACATTTTTGGTTTGAGCCATTGGTGCATTGCAAAATGTTGCAGGCAGTTCCTTTTCAAGACCACCAGAGGGTAGTACATACAGGCACCCGCTCCTGGCCTCAGACAAAGATTTTTGAGATGCACCCGGAGCATGTTCACTGGCTGCTTGAGCAGGAAGTGCATGAAGGGGCAGGTGTTTCTCTGGAGGAAAAACTAGACATGCTGAACTTGAGGCACTACGCACTGTAACCACAAGTTTTCAGTTGTGGCAGCCTGTTGCGTTGCTAGCGTCTTTTGGATTCTGGACAGATGTTTCCATCCCAAGTTTTTACCAGTGGAGCCCGGACTGCAGTGTTGTGTCTCCTGAGGAGACGAAGCATGTTGTGGAACAAGCCAAGTATTGGGCCAACACTCGCAGGCATGAGAAGGTCAACAAGCCTGTCACTGAAGGCATCGAGGTTTTCGGGCCTGCTGATTTTAACCAGTTAGCGGCTTCCATAGTTGACTGGGCAGACATGCTGTTGAATGGTGCCCCTTTCACAAAGGAAGTTGAGCAATGTCGTTTGGAGACAGCTGTCCAGTCTTGCAGGACCCAAGCTGCACTTCTTGAGAACATTGCGGCAGGCAGTGTGCTGGAGCAACATCATGGGACTGGTCGTTTCAATTTGGTTTTTCTACTTCAGACGCTTTGGCTCGCTTTCGACCTGAAGAGTGATTCTGTTTTGAGGGAGGCTTTGCTTAATGCTGTAAAAGTTTTGTATCCCAACACTCGCCATGGGTTCATCGAGCAGATCATTTCTGATCAGTCCATGCCTCTCCCATCCAGAAGTATTCGAACTCAAGCACGTTTTTTTTTGGATCTTGCATTCATGCAGCGTATGCGACAACAGAATGCGGAAAGATACAGGATTGGGGAGCAGTGTGGTGCATTGCATTTGTTGGTGGACTCCTCCCCACAAGGTGGTTACAATTGGCTCATGGCACAGTTGGTCTGGATTGCGGAAGATGATTTGCTAAGGGTATTTGCTTTGTCGAAGCAGCTTGTAGCACATGGCAAGCGCTTGCGCGGTCTGGCTGAGCAAGGCTTTGTCCTGGAAGAGGATGAAGTGGAACAGGAAATGAATTGCGCCAAGGCATTGGCGAGCGCCATCCACAGACATCCATGCCCTCCTGTTGGTTTAGGCCGTGGAGATCTTTTGCATGAATTGCATGCATTGTATCATGCGTTACTTCTGGAGACTGGTGATCCACAATTGTTGGCATGGATGGCTTCGTGCATTTGCGCCATCACTTCTGACAGGGGCGTTGAGGCTGGGTATCCACTTCGTGGAGCCATCCAAGATGCAACCTGATGGGATGAATTTTGATGATGCCGCGTCATCCCCCGCAGACCTTGACATGCAATGTGAGGCTCAACCTGCCCGCTTGTGTTTGCAACAGTCTTTGCCCATACCAGGATGCTTGCATATTGTTCACAATGCTACGCGCCACATGCTGAGTGCGATGCCCCATTTTGAGGACAAGGTGAGGCCTGGATTTTCTGCTCTTGTGGATTTCCTCCACAAAAAAATTACAAGGCAAAGATTTGTTGCGACTTGTTTGGAGCCCTTGCCTGAAGAAATGGTTTTCATCCAACTTTTCAACTCCTTCCCACACACAGTGGTCAAGTGGCGATTTGGGACCCTAGCTGCTGTTTGCAAAGATTTGGCTGAAGTCGAAGTTCCTTTGCGCCGCTTTTGGAATTCAGCCCGCTTGCAGTTTCAGCAGGCTGCACGGCAGAATCAAGAAGAGGCCCATGCCCGCGCTGCAGATGGCGCTTTTGGTGACAACCGGTTGGAAGGGCCAAGCATTTTCAAAGCTGGAGAGGCTGTGCTTTCAAATACATTTTGGAGCTGGGTTCACATGATTTGCAGCTTGGCAAGTTGCATTGGCTACGTGGAAGCTTGGTTTGAGTCCTGTCCATGCCACAGTGACCCCCAAGGACGTGATAGGATGCGTTTGTTTGGCAAAATTAGCTGCCCACTGAAAAAAATTCGGGCACCAGAGCTTGCGTGCCAAGAATTTCGTCCTTTTTTAGATGAGTTAGCCATGCTGTCAGCTGCAGAGGTAGCTTTTAAGCACACGGTTTTTTGCAACGATGCAGACCGAGCCTGGATTCTGGAGGATTTTGAAGCAGGCAGACAACATCTGCAGTTCAACCTTACAATGCAGACTTCTTGCTGGACGCATTTGCCACACCGGCTGTGTTGCTTGGGCCATTTTGATGAGAATGTTGCGCAGTCTGAGGCAGCAGAATGCCTTCGCATATGGGTAGGAATGTCCCAGACAGAGCGCCAGTGCGCCCATCCTTGGTCTAAAGAGCTTCTGGGGGTAGGCACAGAACTTGGTCAGCAGTTTAGAGATTTCATTCGGGGTGGTTCTTTGACTGACCCGGGTTTTGCAAGACTTGCATCTGTAGCTGGGAAGTTTCAGTTTATCCCTTTGTCAGAAAAACCCATTGAAGGAAGGCATGCAGTGATCCACAAAGTCTTGAAGAAGGCCAGCAATGCTGGCCCTGTTTTTTTGAGCATGGCTGAACGGATGCCGCTGCTCATGAAATGGTCTCTTCGTGATGTGAGCTTGATAGCAGATTTGGCAAAGAAGGGGGATTCTTTGTACCACCCTTTGCAAGCATCAGTTACACTGGGCCTTTCATGCCATCCAGATCTAGCACCATTGGTTGCAAACGTTTTACAAGAACAGCCTGATTTTGGTTCTTGCATGGTTTGGGGTGCAACCCACAAGTATGCCAAAGTGGTTAAGAAGGTCGTGTACCATGTTGATTCAACATCTCAGTTCATGAGCCTTTCAGGTGTCCCAGCCATGGATTTCGGGAACAAGAAGACAAACAAGGCCCGCTCCAGCATTGATAGCGCCTACTCTTTTGAAGAGAGAGCAGCGTTTCAAAAGCTTCTGGATGTACACCAAGCCAGTAATGCATACACTATTGACAGGAGTAGTTCCTTTTCTTTGCAACCGTTGAACCAGATGGTGCAAGGGCATGCGGAGATTGGAGCAATGTCACACACTCAAGGTGACATGAACATGGCTGATGCGGATTTGTTGTTTGATTTTCAACCTGACGGGGATAGTGCCATGCAAGCTGTACCATCCCGGAACAAAGAGCCTGGGACAGAACACTTGTTGGCCTTTCGCATTTTGTCTTTGAGATCGACCCGGCTGAAACTGCCAGTTGTGGACAAGGATGCTGCGTTGATTTGGTCAGACATCGCTGCATCAATTTTGCCAGTGCGAGAAACTTCAAACATCAATTTTCCAGATGCTTCCATCATAGTGGGTTCTTGCCCAGAAGCGCCAGGCCCAGAGTCTGTTTCTGTATTGTCTCGTGGGGGGTTTGCCACTATCAGGATTTGGGACAGAGACCCAAAACTACATTGCAGCTTCGATCCTCTGCTTGCTGTTAACCAGAGTCCCGCATTTACAGACAATTTGGATGCGGTTGCTGAAGCTTTGGTGGGTTCCAGTGCTTTTCCTGGAACATTGACAGGTTTGTTGAATGATGGGCTCTCAGACGAGCACAGGCAATATTTGGAGCATTTGTCTAAATTTGGCTTGTTTGCAAAACGAATGGTGGGCTATGGCAGCTCACACATGATGGCGTGACTTCTTTCCAGATCAGTTTCAAGCTCACCAAACCACGCTGTTTGGTTGACATGGAGTTGGACGTGCCGTTGGTGGACAGGTCAGAATCAGCTTTGCTTCTGGCCCTGAGAAGAGCAGATTGGCAATTGTTTGAATGGCGCAAAACAAAGGCCATCCCGTACCCAGATGCTTATCCCTTAGAATTTGACAAAGCCAAACCACCAAAAAAGTATTTCTATGTGAATGCTGGTCGGCAATCTGTTGGTCAGTCCTACTTAGCTGCCTTGGTTGGTTTGTCAGACCCTGCTTTGGTGCATTTCTTCAAGAAGCAGGGCGTGTTTTGTTTGAAGCATTTGCAGGCAGAGAAGTACTATGGCAAACTCTTGGCAGGAAACTTGGCGCAGGCTGAAGGGAGTGACGCCCTTGAATTTTCACATGATGGCGAAGCTATTAATAGCATGATGATTCCTTCAATCCCAGCGAAAAAAATGAGGATTGACAAGTCCTCTGCTGCTGCGATTTCCCAAGGGTCCCAGGCTGCAGGACCGGCAGGGCCTTCTGCCCCATTGGCTCCACAGTTAAAGGCGTTGCGAGAAGGTACTTGTTTCAAGCCCACCTACAGTACCTACATCGTCGGCTGCTGCTACTGCTGCTCAGGCCCTTGAGCATCCTGATCCAGTTAGCTCTGTCGCAGTTGGAGAAGCCAGAGAAGTTTCTTCTTCCAGCCATGGTAACACAGATAATGTGGCTGATGTGCATGAAGAGGCAAGAAACCTGACCAGGCCCAATCCGGGAACTTCACGCGCTGGCCAAGGCCCAGGCTTTACCCTAGCTGAATCTTTCAAGTGGGGTGCTGTTTCCTTCAAGTTCAGGAAGAAGCCACCATCATACCAAGTCGATTGTCCGAATCGGAACCAATTCATCCGACATGCGTGGGGGAGCACCACAACATGTAGCAAGACCACAGCCTTCAATGAAGGCAACAAAGAACTTGTGGTCCAGCGATTGAAAACATGGGCTGTTGCAGGCCTTGACTGCGAGACTCGAGATGACCATGTGAACCTTTCTGGTGATGTTGCTTTCAGGCCAGTGGGCAAGCTGCTCTCACCGGAGGATTTGGAAGAGAAATGCCCAAAGCAGGTGATCAAGATCAATCCTCCGCAGCTGCAGCCTCGTCAAAACCAAAAGCGAAAGCAGCAGGAAAGAGTAAGAGCAAGCCAAGCAAGGCACCCACAGCAAGAGGAAAGGCGAAAGGGAAGCAGAAAAAGCGAGCTGGTTGTGCATCTGGTTCAGAGTCAGCGGCTTGTGTGGGTTCAGAAGGTTCAGCGCATGGTTCTTCAAACAGATCAGCCAGTTCGAGCAGCAATTCCTCGAACTCAAGCAGTTCCAGCAGCAGCAGCAGCAGCTCTTGAGCGATTCACATGGCAAAAAAAAGGGCGGATGCCAGCTCCGAGTTTGTTTTTCACAGCGGCAGCATGTTTCGACCCTCCGTCTATTCAATTTTGATTTAATCATTTCCGTGGGGACCATTTTGCAAGACCACATTTTTGATTTGGTGGAGATTTTCGGCTGCCACTCCCATGCCGCCTCCACAGAGAAGGTTTGTTGTTGAGCATGTCACTCATGAGCGCAGGGTCAAAGCAAAACGAAAGAGGAAGAATTTTAGCTACAGCTTGTGGCTCATGTTACATTGCTCAGTTCTGACGTCAGGTCGGCCAGACTTGTCATTCTTGTGCATGAGTTGTTTGCCACTCAACTCAGATCTGAGACTTTTCATTGCAGGCTCCAGCAAGCACAAAATCTCATTGTTGGAGAGAGTCAGGGTGAGTGAGTACAGTTCAAACGGAAGTGATGAAGTGATGTCTTGATCATGTCACTTGGATTTCTGACATGGTTATACTTTTTCTTGACTCAGTTAGTCTTGATGTTGTCTCCGTGCTGCGCTTCTTGCTATTTTTCCTACTATAAGCAGTTCTTGACAGATGATGAGAAGCTTGCAGCCTGGCGGATGAGCAGAGATTGCCGCTGTGAGCATGAAGACCCAGACATGAATGAGACTAGCGCATTAGCAAGCCATGGGCGGGACCAACCTCAGCAGGACTGATAGGGCTGAGTCATGTTTCAAAAGCCAACCTGTCAGCTGTCCACTGTTTGATGGGATTGCAATTATTCAGGTCTACAGGCAGCAGGCTTCTAGTCTAGTATACACCTGGATGCTCCAATTGTTTGTGATGCATTGCTTTTTGTTTGTGGTTCAAGCTTGTGACTCGTGACATCGTGGATCTACCTCCAAGTGCTTCCATACCTTTCCTCTTTGCCATGAGTTTGGAGTTGCAAGGGCAGCTTGTCATCCAGATCAATGGCTCTCTCCGGATCTGAAGTGCCTCTCCTTGTCCGGGCAGTGGTTCTGACAACCAGCAGCCACCAGGGTCTTCCTAGGCCCTTCGGAATTGGCAGTATCATTGGTCCCGTCATGTAGAAAATTTGTGCAGCAGGATCGAAGAGCTTGAGAAGTCAGCCGCTGCCGGTGGTACCAAAAAGAGTGTGCAGAAGAAATCTTTGAAGGACAAAGCTTCAAAGAAGTGATGTCGAGATTCCTGTTAATATGAAATCCAAAGAGTTTGCATTTGTAAAGAGCCAGGGAACTGATGCATAGCAGCAAGCACGGGAAAAGATGTTTTTGTGCTTGACTCTTGCACGCAGAGCTGAAAAAAGAGAACAGAAGCGGTTTGGATCATTTCAAGCAATTTAAAGCGATTTCATCCTCACTTTGACAGAATCAGGGTGAAATCAGTTATTTTTCGCCATTCGTTCCCTTTTCTGGACATTTTGGACATTTTTGGACATGTGAGCTGCCAAATTTCCTGGTTTCTCTGGTGTGAGAAAGGGCTTGTTTTTGGTATTTTTCTCAACATTTCACTTTAGAGAGCCTTGCACGAAAGTTCACGAACATTTTTTGATGAAAATTGAATGGAAAAAGGTCCGCCCACGAAAGTTCACGAAAGTTCTTGCAAAAATGTTACAAAATCAAACGTTGCAGGTTCAATTTTTGGCCCAATTTGGGAGAAACCAGCTGTTGCGCAGGGAAACTATTTTTTTGGTTGAATTTGCAGGAAACGAATTGAATTCGCTGGTTTTCATTAAATTTTATGTTTTTGCATTGATTTCAACCCAAGGTATCACCCAGGATTTTTTGGAAGGTTCTGAGCTGACAAGTAGCGAGAAAAAGCTTAAGTTCCATGATTTTACCCAAGACAATCAGAGAGGGACAGCGCCACACAGATTGCTGTTGATTTCAAATTTCAAACGTCCTGGCCAGAAGTGCTTTATATTTTGTTTTTTCCTGATCGAGACGTAGACAAAACCGCCAACTGCTTTGCACTTCTCCCGTCTCCCAGTTTTCTGGGTTTTTCCTCTGTGCCAGCTTCATTCCATGGATGTTCTTCCTGTGCTGCTGCTTTTTGCTTTCATGGCTGGCATCATGTTCGCTTATATGTTGAATACGTGTTTGGCGACTTGCTTGGGACCCAGGCAAGGGGCAAGGAAAACAACTTTTAGTAGTATGAGCAGAAAACCTTCGCAGCTTGGAGAAGCTGGCAGTGCTGGCAGCTTGAGCACCCCCATGTCTTCACAATGTTTGAGAGACGAGCCCAACCTGGGTCTGATCTTTTTGAACCCCTCTGCTAGTACATTCCACCTGAAAGGGTGTTTTCACATAGGATCACACGCGAAAGCAATTTGTGCATGCAAGCATTGCATGCCAGCTGTGAAGCTGAACAAAGAAGATTAGGATTAGGAAGTTTAGGAAATATTTTTGTTCAGGCGGTTTTGCTGCTAATTGCATGTGTCATGTTTCAGCCTTCCACCTGCTGTGTCCAGAGAAGCGGAGAAACAGGACAGCGTGACAACGCTATCACAGTGTCACAACTCCAGACTGGTTTGCCATTTTTCCTCGCAGTGGTTGGTTGTATTTGGAAGCAATTAAGAAAATGTGAGGGGTTGGCGGTGCAATATTTCCACAATAGCAAGCACTTAGGAGTTTAGTGTTTTTGCGCGTGACGCTGTGTTGCAAGAACGGTGACTTAATTTCAGGTGGTAGTTTTGGCAGAATCATGCGGAGTATCGCAGAGTCAGCTCAAGCCATGTCTTTTTCCAGTTCTCTGCTCAAGACCCAGACCAGAAACAAACATGTCTCCAAAGCAAAAGGACTGATAAAACACGTTAACATTGTGCATGTTGCCATTTCCATTTTTGTGTGCTTGAGCTAGGTGTTTCTTTGCACTTAGTCTTGGAAGTTGGAAGCCATGCTGAAAAGAGCGGCGTCACGTTACCCTTTGCCTGGCCAGGCAGCAAAGGCGAAAGCAAAGGCTCAACCAGTCTCTGCTGACTCCACACCTTCAGATGCTTTGCCTGGGCCTTCTACTTTGAAGGAGGCTTTCGCCTGGCCAGCAGACATGGTCAAAGCAGTCTGCTCTGACCCAGAGCGATTGCGGAGGCTGAAGCAATTGACAGAGAAGTCTTGGCAAGTAAGCAGCGACTATTCAGGGCTGCGCACTGAAGAAGTTTGCTTTCAGGCCTTGAACCAAGAGATTGGGAAACAGTTAGGGCTTGAGCTGAAGCATAGCTTCTTGTACAGCTGTGCCTGCGATGCTACATGTCGAAGCTTGGTTTTGGGCACGACGGGTTCCAGAAAACCCCAGCATTGCTTCAAAGATCTCAATGGTTGGCTCACTGCTGAAGCCGAGATGGAGCTGGACGGCATTGAAAGCATGATGCCCAAGTTGACAAAGGAGATGACCCCCGCAGAGCGAGAGTCTGCGGAGACAAAGCGTGCTGCAGCCTATGATGAGATGGGTGCTTGGCTCTTCAAGAACTACAGCACTGCCCTTCGCAAGAAGAATTACTGCTTGGAGCACATGGGTTCATGTGAACTTGAGTCCGGCTCCGGATCAGAGAGCCATGGCCCTGACCATGCCAGCCTGGCAGTGGCAGGCCTTACGTGCGTTGGCTGGAGCATCATGGGAAAACATGAGGGCTTCGGCCACAACTCCATGAGACCATTTTTCATTTGGTGTTGCCACCAGCGCCAGCAGAAGCCATGGATTTTGGTGGTGGAGAGCGCTCTGCGATTTCCAAGGCCAAGCTTGGAGAAGTATTTGGGTGACATGTACCACTTAGTCTTCTTTGAGCACTCAGGCCCTGTGCTGCATGGTTGGCCTGTTGGGCGTCCTCGCATGTACTGCCTTGGGTTTCTGAGAAGCAAGCTGACCTCTGTGGGCAGCCAGGAAGAGTACAACAAAGTGTTCTCCAGAACGCTCCAGCTTTCAGGAGACGTTTTTTTCTTCTTGGATGAGGATGACCAAGAAGTCATGAATGAGAAGTTCATGCTTGCTTTAAGGCGCTGTGTTCAGTTCTCTGCGGCTCAAAATCTCCCCTGGGAGATCCTGTACCCTGGGGCAAAGCAGCAGATCATCGAGGAGCACAAGAAGCTTTTTCATCAGATGTGCCCTCAGCCACCTGCATACATTTGCGACTTGGACCAAAACGTTGGGTTCATGAGTGCTGGCCCTGTATGGCCTTGTCTGGTGCGCCATGGAACGATCTACAGCTTGAACAAAGAGGAGGCATGCAACTGCCCCAGAGCTCTTCGCCACCCAAGGCTTTCCTGTCCATGAGAAGTGCCAGGCTCCGTATTCTTGTGGCTTCCAGAAGTTCTTTGAATATGACTTGACGCAGACAGATTCCCACAAGCTGCTTGGCAATGCCATGTTCGTTCCCACCCTGGCTTCAATGATCCTTTATGCCTTGTGCAGTGCAGAACTTCATTCTGCTCAGCTGATCCGCCCAACATCACGGATGCTCAGCGGTGACTTTGAAGAGAGCCAAGAGTCAGCGCCTGCGGAGATTTGAGACATTTTCTGGTGAGCACAAGACTCAAGACTTTCAAGACTCAGCCTTCGGTTTGACTTGCAGCGCAAGGTTTTGACTAGACCTGAGCACAAGACTCAAGACTTTCAAGACTCAGCCTTCGGTTTGACTTGCAGCGCAAGGTTTTGACTAGACCTGCAGATGATTCCAGCGTAAGAAAATCCAGCTGTGCCTTGTCTTGTTTCCATGAGCTTTCCACTTCAGCCGCCAGCACTGGCCACCTATTTTCTTGGACAACGTCTTAGAGCGTGTCTTTCTTCTCTCCTTTGGATTTAAGCCTATGTCTTGACATCTTGAAGCTTGGAAATGATAGAAGTGACACATGCGAAAATGTGACGGAGGTGAGTGATGAAGGTCAAGGTTCAAGGTTCTCTGACAGTTCTCTGGTGCAGCATGTTTTCAAGCCACTGAGTTCAGGCCAGTGTCCAATCACGTTGGGTCATGCAGCGCATGAGGCATGAGTTGATTTTTGTTGTGTTGTCAGCAGCCGCTCTGCCAAGTCTTGCCTTAGGCCCTTGGCCTTGTTTCACGTAGTGCGTTGTGCTCACCGGTTTCGCTCACCTCCTGATCGCACCATGGAAGCTCAACAGTTTGACTTCTCAGCCAGCCAGGCTGACTGGGATTTTGGTGATGGAACTGACAATGCCTCACAATCAGAGATGCCGCCACCGCCGACCCCTTCTGACCGCAGTGACCGTAGTCCAAAGAGGAGACGCTTGTCAAAAGGTAGTGGGAAAGGAGGCGATGCCAAGACGTGCGCGATTTGTGAAGTTGAGCCTTCTTTTGCCAAGTTCAGCTACTGCAGGGAGTGCAAGAAAGACGTCCAGTCTTGCTTGAACCAGGCCAAGGTCGATGGTAAGGAAGACGATTTCAAGAGATTGTCAAAAACTTCAGCCGGACTGAAGCACTTGATTGCCCACTACGAGAGCAAGTGCCCGAGCCGCGGGCATGGTGTTCCTCGCGACAAGATGGACTGGGTGAGCTACTTGTCTTCTGTTTCCACAGAGAACAGGCAGGTGAATGGCGAGAAAGAGGTCTTCATGGATTTCCCGGACTTCGAGCAGTTTTGCAAGTCCAAAGGCAAAACTGCCAAAGAGGCTTTGCAAGAATGGTCTGACATGGAGGCGCAGGGCCATGACCACGATTTCAAGGGCCGCAAAGACTTTGAAAAGCGCTTTGCTGTTGTGACTGAGGAGTACCGGCTGAAGGAAAAGGTCAACGGAGATCGACAGGAGCCCGGTGGTCTGGGCCGGGTTTGTTTTATTGTGAATGCATGTGTTTTACTGTTTTACTTTGCTGTGTCATTTTACGTGGCAGCGGCGGCTTGTTTCTATTTTGGACGGTGTGTCATTTTTACGTGGCAGGCCCTGGCAGGCTGCTTTACTTTGGTGTGTCATTTTTACGTGGCAGGCCCTGGCAGGCTGCTTTTGCTTTGGTGTGTCATTTTTCCGTGGCAAGCCCTGGCAGGCTGGTTTTTCTTTGGTGTGTCATTTTTACGTGGCAGGTGTGGCTGGCGGTCGGTGTGTCATTTTTACTTGGCAGCCCCTGGCAGGCAGGTTCTTCTTTGGTGTGTCACTTTTACGCGGCAGGCCCTGGCAGGCTGGTTTTACTTTGGTGTGTCACTTTTACGTGGCGTTTGGTGTGTCATTTTTACGTGG